GCCAGGCCCGCTCAGGCCCCGGTAGTGGCGGCGGTCGGGCCATTGTGCGGTGCATTGTGGGAGCCGCGCGAGCGGGCGCTCGGGCCGTGGAGGGGGCGGTGCCGCGGGCTCTCTATGGTCCCGCCCGCCCGCTGGCTAGAGCGACCAGAGCCGTGCGCGGGCAGCGCGCGGAGGCCGCTGGGAGCGGGGCGGACACTCATGCTGCTCCTTCCGTCCCCGCCTCCGCGCCGTGGCGCGCTCAGACACCGGAGGCGATATGGGCGCTGCCGCGCGGGCATCGCCAACGCTACCTATGCGTGTGTCTTTCCTGCTGCTGCTTCTGCCGCTCCCGGGGCTGCCCGCGGGCTCCTGGGACCCGGCCGGTTACCTGCTGTACTGCCCATGCATGGGTAAGGCCTCCCGAGACCTCTGCTCAAATGGGGAAACTGAGGCCCAGAGAGTCGACGCCACGTCTCTGAGGCACCCAGAAACACGGACATGGCCGGGAGAGAACCCTGGTGCAGGGCAGGAGGGCAGGACCTGCTCCTTGCCTAGCACCCCATTTGCAGGGTGATGAACGGGCCTCTGTATCCATCCTTGCCTTTGGCAGAAACCCTGCCGAGGTTCGAAATGATACTTATCTTGCGCAAGGTCTGAGTCCGGCAATGGAGTTAGTGAGGCAGGACTTGATGTCACTGACACAACACTGGCTCTGGGCGATTTTTTTGTTCATTCAACAAATATTTATAGGACAAACTGTGCCCAGCCCTGTTCTCTGGTCAGGGCATACAGCGGTGATAAAACACAAAATTCCATCCCCTTTGTAGGGCTTTCATTTTAGTTGGACCATACAAACAATACCAGATAAACAAAATAAAATAACTAATTGTATCGTATTTAGTGTCTTAGAAGGGGGTAAACGCTATGGGAAAATGAAATAGGAAGAGAGTCTCAAGGCCAGTTGAGGGTGCAATCAAAATGTGGATGTGGATGTCATTGTAGAAGTCATTCGTTCTTAAAACCCTCCAGGCATCTGATGATAATAAGTTGGTCCTCCACCCCACCTCCCATCTCCATTACTCCCTTCTCCCCAGAGCTTCCAGCAGCAGCCACAGTTAACCTTTTCCTGTTCCTCATGCATACTCAGATCCGCCCAGCTGAGCTATCTAGAACAACCACCCCATCTAGAACAACCTTCTCTCATCCTCAGGTCACAGCTTAAATGTCACCAGAAAGGACTTCACTGACCTCAGCCCAAATAATCTCCTCCTTATTGCTTTCTATCACCAGACTTTTCATTTATTTTTTTAAATTATCAAAATTTACCACTAGCTGTTTCTTTGCATGTTACTGTTTCCCTAGCTGGACCAGGAGGGCAGACTTCCCTTGTCTTTCTTTCCTGTAATCCCAGCACCTAGCAGACAGTGGGGCACATTATGGTCTCTCAGTAATATTTGTGTAATGAGTGAATGGGAACAATGCTGAGGACAAGAAAAAGAATTAGACTAGGCCCTTGCCCTGTGGCATTTACAGACTGGGGAAACAGTCACTACAAAGGCCAGGGAGTGGGAAGGACATTCAAAAAAAAGTACAAACCATAAGTAACTCAGACCCAAGGTTGGAGGCAAAGAAGGGGACTGAATGTGCCAGGGAGTTAGTGAGAGGATCCCAGTGGATGAGAAGGCTACTCCTGACTGACAGAAAGGACAGCAAGAGCAAAGCTGTGGTGGGATATTAAATGTGGAGCATATGTAGAGAACAGCAAGGAACGTGGAGTGGCTGAGACAGAAAGGCCTGAAGAGCCTCGACTGTCAGACCCGGGAGTCCAGACCTCATCCCATGCTGTCAACTCCTCTAGCTCTCCTTGGTGTCCTGCCCTCTCCAGTTCTGACTCTGCCTCCTTTCTGAGCTCTGCATGTCCCACGCCTCACCTCTCCTGCAATATACCATCCAGGGCGCTTCGGGAACCAGGCCGATCACTTCTTGGGCTCCCTGGCATTTGCAAAGCTGTTGAACCGCACTTTGGCTGTGCCTCCTTGGATTGAGTATCAGCATCACAAGCCTCCCTTCACCAATGTGAGTATCCCTTGCTGACTTTAGTCCTTTCTCATTCTCCCCAGTCCTGCTCACACCCACTCAATGCCCAGGTGTCCTTCCCTGCACTTGACCTCCCACTTTTCTGGGCTTGCCTCCTTCCCACCCAGAACGAACTTCCCTGGAATCATGATGGCTCATCTAGCACCTACTCTGTCAGTCACTGTCCTTAACCTTAATCCTGCATGAGGATTAACTCTTCCCCTCAACACATCCCTCTGAGGAAACTACTGTTTAGAGAGGTTAGGTGACTTGCTTAAGGTTGCATCGCTTGTGAGTAGTAGAACTGGAATTCATGCCCTTGTCTGCTGGCTCCAGACACTGTGGCCTGAACCTAAAAACTCCCATTTCCAACACTGGTTGATCTCTGCTCATCCTGTTGTAAGAAGATGATGGGGAATCATCAGTTTTGAAGGAGAAACTAAGTCACAGCTGACTTACTTTGTGAGGCCACAAACCCAGGAAGCTTGGCTCTAGCGCCAATGTTCACCCCACCAAGGGACTCTCTTGGCATGACAATATGCAGCATCCTCCAGTTCCTTGCTTATGGGTCTTCAATTCTTGTGTTTGTCTTTTTTCTCACTGTATCCCCGGGGGCCTAGTGGTAGGAACTGAATTAATACTTAGTGAACTGGCTTAAAAATGTTTTTTTTTTTAAATTATTCCTTTATTATAAGATACTTATTTTTGCACCGAGCTGGGATGGAGGCCAGAGGTGCTGGGGGTGAGAGGACTTACCAGAGATAGAGTGGGGAGCAGAACAGGCAGATGTACTGAAATACACTGCTGAGGGGAGCAGTGGGCAAGACAAGAGAGGTCTGCTGCGCCATGTGGGTCAGCTCCCTGGCCAGGGATCAAACTCAGGCTGCTTTGCCATGGAAGAGCCATTGGAATGGTCATGCTGAAACTTAACCCTTAGGCCACCAGGGAGGCCTTGGCTTAAAAAGTTTTTAATGAATTCCAAAAATGATATTTAGTATGAAAATTCACTTTTTTACATACATTTTTGTAGCCTTTGCATAGGTTTTATTTTCCTTTCCATGCCTATAGTTAGGTTGTTAACAATTGGAGGTAAAAGCCAGAGGACCTGAAATCATATTCCAGTTTGGCTACTTCCTAGCTCTGTGGGCTGGGCAGTGACCTCTGTGCCTCAGTTTCCTCATCTTTATAATAGGCCGGTCGTTATTGATGCTGCTTCCCACAGTGAGTTGGTGACTGGCACTCCTTGAATGCTACCTGCCCCTCTTAGAATCAGTCGGGCTCGTCAGTGCAGAAGTGCTCAGGACACAAGAAATCCTCGGCGCTGAGCTGTGGATGAGCTGATTTTTTTGTACTTGCTGCAGTAACTTGGACATTGCCCACCCCGCTCCCTCGGACTTGCCCGCTTCCTTGTGCCTTCTCAGCCAGGAGTCTGGGAGTCTCCAATTCTCGCTTTCTGCAGGTTACTCACCTGCCTTTATTGGGCTCCCCTGCTGGAACTGATCTCAAAGGTATCACCAGGGACCTCAGAATTGCTAAATCCAGGAGTCATTTCTCAGTATTTATCTCAACTGACCTCACAGTGGCCCTGGTCCCTGACCCTCTCTCCCTCCTGGCCTCCCCACCCCCTCAGCTTGCTAGACGTAGCCTGTCCACAGCTTCAGCCCTGACCGCTCAGCATTTTCCTCTTTATGCTGTGAAGAGGGGCTCCTCTCTCACCACCCACTGCTTAAATATTGATCTAGCTTCTCCTTCGGTTTGCTTTTAGCTGTGTGACCTCAGACGAGTTATTCTGTCTGCCTGGGTTTCTCATGCGTAAACTGGCAATGACTATATTCTCACCTCTTAGAATTAGATAAGCAAATCAAGGAAACATGATGAGGGAAGCTGCTGGTGCTAAGCCAGCACTCCATAAATATTAGCTGCTATCATTACAGTTATTTACTTTGTTAAGAATTTCTATTGGTTCTTGTGGTTTTACTGTTTTCCACATCCCTCCCAATTCATCTCTGCCCCAGACTCACCTCTGAGCATACATAAGCCTGTGTTTCTACCTCCTAGATCCTTGAGTCTGGATGTCCAATAGGTAGCTCAACATTCCCAAAACCAGAACTAAACTTGGCATCTTTCCCTTAGAACCTGTCTTGTCTCCTGTATTGCCAGCCCCTCACCTGGCGATCAAGGCGGATGTCCAGAGGTCATCCTAACTGCCTCCGTGTTATTTCCTTTGCCTTCCTCTTTGTCTTCTAACCATCTCTCACGTGGCCTCACTCGAAAACACACCGATTATGCCCAGACCCAACACGGCGAGTTCAGCAGCCTCCCCAGTCCTCTCCCTGCTCTAATCTCGCTGGTGTCAGTACACTCTCCTCTGCCACCAGTGAGCTTTCGAAAGGGCAAATCTCATCCTATTTCTCTTCAAAACCCTTCAGCATTCCTCTTTGCTGGTAGTTAAAATTCCCAAACTTTGTTCATGAGAACACTAGTAGCTCATGTAATAAAAATGGTTCAATCATTTTGGGAAATTATGTTCTCTATCCCCTACCTTCCCCAAATTGGAGATCAAAAATGCATGTTAGCATATTAAAGGCCCTGAAAATTTCTGTAGTGAAGAAACCAGACTTAACATGGCATTTTCCAAGCCTTCTTCACCTCGGGAATTTTTTATTGAAACACCCTTTATGCACCTGAATTGTAAAATACATTAGGGAAACCCTGACCTATAGAATAGAGTTCTAATTTTATTCTTTGATTGCCTAAGAATTTTTTTTAATCTAGAAAAATAAAGAGACAAATACAATTACCATTCATGTAGTCACCACTAGAAGTGATACTTATTACTCATTTCTCACTTTTGCTTTATCTGTTCATTAATGAAAGAAAGAAGACAGTTACAGATAAAGTTGGTAAAGGATAAACTCTCCCTTGGCTCCTGAATCTAATCCTAGCTCTTCCCCACCTCCCACCACTCTCCCCGCGCCCCCCACAACCAGTACCATGTGTGATTCTTCCAAGACCTTTCCCATACTTCCTTGGTGGCATCCTTATACCCATTTCTTGGTGCAAGGTGTAAGAACTGTTCTAGGGCAGATACTCATAGATGGAAGGTATATTCTAGATTCTGTTAGATACTGCAAGATTGCATTTCAAAGTGTCCCAAAATGTACATGTCTACCAGCTTCCCCACTCCTTCCAACAAGGATAGTTAAACATTAACATATTTGCACATCTCATGGGGGAGAAATGAATTATATTGTAGTTACGATTTGCTTTTTCTTAATGACCAGTGAATTTGAACAGCTTTTGAGTGTCTTGCTACTTGGGTTTTCTTTTCTGTGAGTTGTTTGTTCCTATCTTTTGCCCATTTTTTCTCTCAAGTCATTACCTTTTTTCTTGTAGATCAGCAGGCAGTTTTGAATGCATGGGCTATTACTATTTGTTCTTTAGTGTAGAAGTCTTCTCCCAGCCTATCTGTTGTAGCTGGTGTGTTTTGCCACAAGTTTCTCATTGGCATGTAGTGCAAGCTGGCTGGGTCTCAGAATATAGTGATTTAATAAATGTCCGTGCCTCTTCCCCCCTTTCCTACAGCTCCATGTATCCTACCAGAAGTACTTCAAATTGGAGCCCCTTCAGGCCTACCATCGGGTCATCAGCCTGGAGGACTTCATGGAGAAGTTGGCACCCTCCCACTGGCCCCCTGAGAAGCGGGTAGCATACTGCTTTGAGGTGGCAGCCCAGCGAAGCCCTGATAAGAAAACGTGTCCCATGAAGGTGGGTCTGGGGCCCTTTTTGGTGGTTCTATGTCCTCTCAGCCTCTCAGACATTGGGTGATAGCAGCGTGTGTGGGAAGGCACCACAGGGACTTAGAGTATTTAAGTTCTATTTCTGGCCTTTATCAGCATGTCATTGTGGGCAGAGGTCTTTACTTCCTCTGAGCCTTTACTTTTACCTGCAAACTAAAAGTACCATTTTCTCCTTTTTACTCTCAAAGTATCATGAGGGCCAGTGTAAGAATGCTTGTAAACTACTGAAGTGCACATAAATAATAATGAATGCTCACCTAGCACACAGTACATGCCAGGGACCATGCTCAGAGCTATAAACATACCAGCCCACTCATCCTCAAACTGCTCCATGAGGAACATACTGTCCATAGCCACATCTTGTTGGTTTTGTAAAAAAAAAAAAAAAATTTTTTTTAAATTTTTATTTATTTTTGTGTAGAAGAACTAGGGTGTAAGCCAAAGGGGTGACAGGAAGAGGGGTGGTAAGAGGATTCACCACAGACAGAGTGGGGAGCAGAGCAGGCAGATTGACCAAAGTACACTGCAAAGGGGAGCCGAGGTGAGACAGGAGAGGTCTGGCTGCACCATATATGGGTCAGCTCCCTGCCAGGGACCAGACACAGGTCATAGTAGTGATAGGGCCAAGATTTAACCCCTAGGCCACCAGGGAAGCCCAACTGCCATGTTTTATAGTGTGGACACTGAGTGCCACACAGAGAGACTCAGTATTTTGCACAGGGTCACATAGTTAGTAAGTGGTGGAGCTAAGATCTAAGCCTCGGTCATTTGACTCCATTGTCCACCTTCTTGTAAACGTTTCTGTGTCTCAGAAGATAAATGAGAAGTTACCATATTTTATCAGTAAAAATCTATAGATTTCTGGTACTTTAGAATAAGACTGTCCCCAGCATGTTTTCCAGTGCTCATGCCAAAGTCTAAGGAAGGTAATTGAAAGAGCCATGAACTTTGAGAAGGAAAACCTGGTTTACAGTCCAAACGCTGCCTTCGTGTGCTGCGTGACCCTGAGCAAGTATCTGATTCCGTCAAGGCCCTGCTTTATATCTTGAAAATAAGGACATTGAAGGAGACTCTCTGGTGGTACCGGGGTTAAAAACAGCGCTGTCAGGGCCCTCCCTGGTGGCACAGCGGGTTAAAGCATAGCACTAAGAAGTTTAAGCCACTTCTGCATGAGTTTGATACCCACTGCCCCGGAGGAGATCCACATGGCGCAGCAGACCTCTCCTGACCCGCCCGCTGCTCCCCTCAGCAGTGTACTTCGTCGATCTGCCTGTTCTGCTCCCCACTCTGTCCCTGGTGAATCCTCTCACCCTCCGCATCTCTGGCCTGTACTCCAGTTCTGTATGAATAAATAAAATAAATCTTTAAAAAAAAAACAGCGCTCTCAATGTCAAGCTATGGCCAGCCACTGCAGACTGAGTTCTGCGCCTGGTCCCTGGGGGAACTGACCCACATGGTGCAGCAGACCTCTTCTGTTGTGCCTGCTGCTTCCCTCAGCAGTGTGTTTCAGTGCATCTGCCTGTTATGTTCCCCACTCTCTCTGGTGAATCCTCTCACCCCCACACCTCTGGCTTACGCCCCAGTTCTTGTTTGCATAAATAAATTTTAAAAAAAAAAGGAAAGAAGAACGTTGGATTTGCTGATCTTGAAAGTCTCTTGAAGGTCTAGTCTGGGGTCCCAAATCCAAAGTCCACTTCCTCCCTGGTTGGCAGGATGGGACGTGTGAGTGCAAATGACACTGTGGTGAATACTTGCTAGGTGGAGGCCAAACTGCCCTTCTCAGCCACCAGCCCGGAAATTGCAAAGAGGCATTCCTACCTGGGCACCCTCCGAGGTGGCTCAGCCTAAGTGACTTCTCCCAGGGCCCCTCCCCCATAGGTCTTAGACCCTTCCCCAGATGCCTCTGCCTCCCCTCAGTGAGCCTTTTACCACATTCTTTCTGCAGGAAGGAAACCCTTTTGGCCCATTTTGGGATCAGTTTCATGTGAGTTTCAACAAGTCGGAGCTTTTTGCAGGCATTTCATTCAGTGCCTCCTACAAAGACCAGTGGATCCAGAGGTACTTGGAAGGGGCAGTATTGCTGGGTTTAGGGGAGGAGCATGGGGCCCAGTGGCCTCCTAGCCTCTACCACACCCTGATGTTTAAGACCAAAGGTGCGACCATTCTGTCTGTCGAACTTGGGATCCTGTGTGATCTGTTCCCATCCAACGCCTGACACAGTAGAACATTGACCTGCCACAAGGTTGAGCAAGTTTATCGGTAGATAAAGGATGTCATAAAAAGAGTATTGTGCAGTCACATGAGTCTCGATTTCCTCCTCTCGGCATGAGAAGAATCATTCCCCTGTTACCTTCCTCTTCACAAGGTGAAAATTGGAAGCAGCTTCTAGAGATGAACAGCTTCAGTTGCAGACTAAGAAATGATGTCATCCTGATAATAATTGGATGTGCTTTATTAATGCACTCCTGTAAGCTCTATTTAAAAAAAAAATGGGTTAGCAGGGCATTGGCACAGACTGTGAAATATTTATAGAGCGTCTGTCATGTATGAGACATAATATTGAAAGGCCAGGGGTGATATATAAAGATGAGAAAGACCCAGCTAGTCTTCAGAGAACTACAGTTTAGTTACAATGATATTAACTAAGAGTGCTCTTGTCCTGGCAAGAAAGTGTCAGAAGTCAGGCCTGAGTTAGGAGCTGTGAAGAGTTTATTAATTCACGCACAGCCATAACACTTGGCATTTAGTCGGCCACAGATAGACTCAAGTGAGAAAAGAGCGCAGGTGCAGCGTGAGGCAGACCTGAGCTCTGACCCAGCCCTGCCTCTTTCTCAGGTGACCCTGAGCAAACACTCTAGTTGTCTGGCCCAGGTTTCCTCCTGGATTGCGAGGAAGGGACCTTTGTGCAGTACCTGCCTCCTAGTGTGTGAGACTTGTGGCCCATCACTGTTAGTTGTTACTATCATTAGTCATGTTTTATTTTACTAAAGCCTTTAAGAAATTTCATGAATTGGTTATTTTGATCAGTTTCCATTTAAGAGGTGAGGTAAAGTAATTTGTCCAAGGTAATGGAATTATTCAGGGGGCAGTTGGGGCTGGGGTCTGTGCATAAGTCCTAATTAGTTAATGAGGGTATTTATTTAGCACCTGCTATGTGCCAGAGACTGTTCTGAGATTTCATTGCACTACCTAAGTCATTTGAAATAATAAGTCATTTAACCTTTCCACAAGTCTGGGACAGGTGCTACTGTCATAAGAAAACCGAAGCAGAGAGGAGTGGTGTCTCTTGCCCACAGTCACACAACTTGAAGTAGTAGAGCTGGGATTTGAACGCAAGTAGTCTGATTCTCAGAACAGCTACTTTTAATCACTTTGGAGAAAAGAAATGTGCCTTTAACAACTCCAGTTCCTATTTGGGACTTGCTTTCAGAGCTGATTCATGAGCTAATGAGGATATTCAGTCATGGCAGATTCTAATGCTCCCTCGTTGTTATCCTGGGCAGGGCATTCCCACTTGTCCTCCTGCTTGGTTATTGCCCTTCAGCTCTGATGATCTACAGTTGTTGCCAGAATGTACCCTCAAAGAATGGAGTTTTGCCCCTGTTGACAAAATGCCAGGGGAAAAATGACAACATTTCCAAAAGCAAACTCCAGAAAACAAAAAGAAGCTCACCGTCCTGGCTGAAAGAGAAAGGGCTGTGCTATCTGGATGCACTGTTCAGCAGGTGTTGCTGAAACAACTTGCTTGAATTCGAGTTGCCAGAATGCATGACGGCTTGGGGAAACTTGTGCCTTACAACCACACTTTTGGGAAGGGAGGCCTAATAGGTGGCAAGTGAGGAGCTGGAGGCAATCGTAGAGTTAGGCCACCCAGGCAGCTGCCTTCCTTCCATCCTTCTGCATGTATTTAAGAAGCATCTCCTGAATGTCAAGCCCTGGATTGAAGGCTGGGGGTCCAGGCAGGAATGAGATGCATAAGCTCCTGTCCTGAAGGAGCTGAGGATAATGGGAGAGACAGCGAATAAACTTTTACCTGAGATAGTCCCAGAAGACAGTAGTGAACAGGATCTGTGATTGTCAGGCTGAGACTGTCTTTGTCAGTCTGGGTGCTCAGAACACCAGACTGGAGGGCTTAGATGGCAGGCATTTATTTCTCACCGTTCTAGAAGCTGGAAAGTCCAAGATGAGGGTGACCGGTCAGGTTCTGGTGAGACCCTCTTGCCTCTGGTTCTGGTGAGCGCTTTCCTGGCTTGCTGGCACTTCCGATTTACTGAATCCTCACTTGCTAGAGAGACAACAGGTTCTCAGGTGTGCCATAGGGCTCTGATTCCATTGTGAAAGCTTCGCCCTTAAAACCTCAGCTAAACCTAATCACCTCCTGAACGCCCCACTTCCTCATACTGCCTACCACATTAAGGTTTGGTACTTCAACATATGCATTTGGGGGGTAAAGACATTCAGCTCCTAGCTGGAGGGAACAGTGGCAGAGGCTTCGAAAGCGATGATTCTCAGGCAGATAAAGGCTTGGTGGTGTGGTCAGGAGTAGGAAGAAGGCTGGTGTGGGGGCTTGAGGAAAGTGGCAGGTTCTTCTTCCACCTGTTGCTATATAACCAACTATTGGATTTTCAGAAAAGTCTTGACTTTTTTTATTGTCGTTGCAAAAATGTATCATGACTTTTCTGATAACCCAGTACTCCAAAACGTAGTTACTCAACAACAAATCTCTATTTCCCGGAGTTCTGTGGGTTGACTAAGCTTAGCCAGGCAGTTCTTTGGTTTGGTTTTTGTTATTTTCATTTGTTTATGGAATCCCAACTACACAAAGTTTCAGTCCCTATTGAACTTCTAACCTCTTGGATTGAATACTCTCGAATACTGGTGGCAAGTTTTCTTTTAAATAAAGAAAATTAAATGAACCCATATGCCTACCAAACCTTCCAAAAACACTGTTAATACTCTATGGTGTGTATACCTCCCATCTCCAGGCATTTTGTACACATGTGCACACCTACCAGTACTAATGGAAAATGGAGTCACTGTTTTTCTGGGGAATAATGATGTCATCATTTACCAGCCTAGTAAAGATTCATCAAGATTCATCCATGCTGTAGATCAAAACTTGGCAGATTCTACGTTTGGAATGTCCTCCTCCTGTAGGGAGATAAGGTGTCCACATACCAACCAGCTGGCCTGGCCAAGCTCCCAGTAACAGCCAGCATTGCATGCCAGCTGTCAGGATCAGTGCTGAACAGAGAAAATCCTAGCAGGGGAGCTGCTGAGCACATGAATGCGAACGAGTTAGCAAGCGACACATGACAGGGAGGGGCTGGCAGCTGGTTTTGGAAGTTCAGAAGGTGTTTAAAGAGGTAGGCATTCAGGTTGGGTGTGAAGAAGTGCAGTGGCACATCCATGGGGCATGCAAAATGGAAGCCTCCAGAAGTCAGCGCCATCACATGACCCACAGGATCAATGTTGCCATGCCACCAGAACTTCAAGTCAGGTTTTTAAAGTCAGATCAGTTACATTCGTTATGACAGCAGTGGTGATGGGTCTTTCTGAGGGTGGCCTATGTGTCAGGCATGGTTCTAAATGCTTTGCTTATATTATAATCTTCTCAGTAGTCCTATGAGATGTGAACTGTTATCAGCTCTATAGTACAGATGTGGGAACCCACAGAATGACCAAGTTCAATGGTTAACTAACTGCCAGGTCAGTGAGTGGCACAGTCATCGTGAGAACAAGCCATCTGGCTCAACATACCATGCCTTTACCTTTATACTGTGTACAAAGCATACAGAGCAATACCCTTTTCTATTAACAATAAAAGTGTAATTGAGCATAAAGCCACAGTATCGTCTAGGAAGGAAAAGGTGATATGATAGACTTTTTAATTAGGTGTGCACTTTTTTTAAAAAAAGCAAAACTAAGCAAAGGATTAACACCTGCTAATTTGAGTCATTGGTATATGTGCTGTTAAATTATTTCCTGGAAGAAGGAAAAAAAAACTAAAAGAAGAAAACTAGAAAGGAAAAAAAATAAACCCAAATAAAAAAGTGAAAGTATAAAAAATGTTTTCCCTGTATGGTTCATGATTTTTCTTGAAATTTTCATTGAAAGAACTGTAACTTTTACCCTGCAGTTGTGGAGAAAAAAAAAAGCTGATCTCCTGTGCCCTTTACCCACTTCTCTCCATTGATGACATTCTGCAAAACTTATGGACAGTATCACAAGTAGGATGTTGGCATTGATACAATCTACCCATCTTACTCAGATTTCCCCAGTTTTACTTGTACTCACTTCTGTGAGCACGCATACACACCCTAGCCTCTGACAGCACTGGCTCCTCTCCATATCTGTTTTGCTCTCCATTTGGTCATTGAAACGTGTTATATAAATGGACTTGTACAGTATGTAACCTTTGGCACAACCTCCTTGAGATCCATCCAAGTTGTTGCCAAGTTGTGTCAATAGTTTGTTCTTTTTTTTTAATAATAGTATTCCAGGGTATAGATGCTCCACTTTGTTTAAACATTCACTTGTTGAATGACATCCAAATTCTCACCAGTTTTTGGCTATTATGAATAAAGCTTCTATCAACATTCGTGTACGAGTTCATGTGTGAATATAGGTGTTTGGCTCTCTGGGATAAATGCCAAGAATGCAATTATTGGGTCATATGGTAATTGCATGTCTGGTTTTATAAGAAACTGCCAAAATGTTTTCCAGAGTGGTGGTGCCTATTTCGTAATTTTCAGAAAAGGGTTTTGGCTGGCACAGCAGAGGAAGGGCATTCCGGGAAGTGGGGAGAAGTATGTGGAGAGCAGGATTTGAAAGCAGGTTGTGTGTTTATTCAGAGAGAGCAGCACAATGATTCCTGTGGCTGAGATTGGCTCTGGGGTTAGTTGAAGAGGGAACACAGGTTTGCTCCTTCCTCATTTAGTCAGTCAGCAGATATTTAGTGGACCCTGTGTGTAACAGACACTGTTCTAGGCACAGGGACACACTGCCTTCAGAAGCTTGAGTCCGGCAGCACAGAGGGGTTGTGGGGACATCTGCAGGCCTCTGGCCGTTCTTCAAGGCAGGAACTATGCCATTCTTGTTGTGCCCTGGACAGCAGCGCATAGTGGGCGTCAGCAGATGCATGTGGTATTGAGTGAATGCGCGCTGGTGTGCACATTCTCCGTAATCTGTGCACTGCCTCCATAAGCAGCTGTGTCCCCTCCCAGCATGTAGGTAAAAGGGCAAAGCCTCAGTCCAGACACCCAACCCTGGAGTGAATTGCTGCACCATAGATTGGAAGCCAGCATGACATATAAAAGGTAGGAATGCTCTACTGTAAATTTTTAATTGTTAAACAAGCCAAGAAGGTTGTAAATTCCGTGTGGCGGGACAGTATTGCATATTGCACCTACTGCCGCCACCACGGTTTCTTATCACCCTGTTGGGATTTCACAACCTCTCATGCTTCTTGCATGTTACAGAGGCCCCTCCTCAGGGTCTCTGGGACATGATGCAACACTATCCTTTTCCTGTGGGGGTGGGGGTGGCGGCCAGACTCTGCATCCTCTGTCTGACTTCCCCTCACTCTGTTTCATGCCTAGATTTTCTCCAAAGGAACATCCAGTGCTGGCCCTGCCCGGAGCCCCAGCCCAGTTCCCTATCCTGGAGGAGCATAGGCCGCTCCAGAAATATATGGTATGGTCAGACGAGATGGTGAGGACAGGAGAGGACCAGATCCGTGCCCACCTCATCCGGCCCTATGTGGGCATTCACCTGCGCATTGGCTCCGACTGGGTAACTCCACCTTCCTCTCCTGGCTGGTTTGGATGTGTTCCCGAGCAGGGTTCACATCTCTGGGGGTGAACACTGAACTCATTGCACCAAATCCCAGCCGGTACAGAAAGCTCTCCCTCAGCCAAGATCATGGGAGGGACTTTGTCCCATGATCCTGCCATAGACTCGTCAGTAATATGGCCTCACAGTGCCTGCTTGCCAGCTCTCATTTTAACAGTTACTAATTTCATCCTCACTTTTGCAGATAAACCGATAACAAGCTAGACTTCAGGCAACAAGCCTGAGAGAGGCCATCACCCAGACATCCCCACCCCAGCGCAGCGTTTAGCTGGTAGACTCCTTGTCAGAAAAACAAGTTCTGGAGGTTGGGTGGGGCTCCCAAGAAATGAAGATGTCATCCTCCGAATTTGGAGGCTGATTAAACGTGCAGAGGCTTCACCAGATTATCCTCAGTGTGAAAATAACAGAACCGATGTAGACAATCTAATTTACTTAAGAAGATGTACTTGGTGCGTTTTAGACATGTTCATTGTTAAAGACTTTAAAAGTATAAAACTTAGATCAAAATTCACTCACAATCAGTTGGGGAAAGTTTTACCATCTAGATTCCTTTCCTGCCCTGTTCCTCCAAAGAAAGCAGCCCAGACATAACAGTATTTTAGCCCAAACCTTCAAGGAGCAGATAGTTCCCATCTATACATTCCTAGAACATCAAAGGATTTAAGATGCTCTTTTATTTTAAAATTAGCTTAACAGTAATATCAAACTGGAACCAGGTCAGCACAGCAAAGTGTAGCCCGTTGTCATGTATGTAGCTGCACAGGTTCTTTACCAAGTAAATCCTAATAGATTAAAGAACCTATAACGTGGGTAAGATTCATCCTAGGAGTGCACAAAGTTGCTATTTTAACTCCCAAAGGGAAGAAAAATCATATAATCATCTCAAAAGAAGCCAAGAAAATACTTGATAAAAGTCACCACCCATTCATGATAAAAAAGGGAAAAAAAAAAAAAAAACAAAAAAAAACCTCTACCAACTGGGTTTAGCAGGGGACCCACCTTAGCTTGATAAAGGCTATCTCTCCGAAACCCACAGTAAACATGGACTTCAGGAGAGCTATCAGTAATGTTCCCACTGAAGTCCGGAATCAGATAATGCTGTCTCATTATCAGTGCGAGGTTCAGGTTCGTGTGAGGTACAGAATTCTACTGGAAGTCCCAGATAATGCAGTAAGCCCAAGGGGGGAAAATTGTAAAGAGCCCATCCCCCACTACCCAGAAATAACCAGTTACTGTTTTGATGCGTTGCCTGCTTCCCTCTTTGCTCTCTTGAAAAACACAGATGCGCCCTTCCCACACCCCTTGCCTTTCTCCACTTCTAGTTCTTGCTTCTGGGGCTCAGGCAGTTACTTGTCTTTAATTCCATGCTCCCTCTCACCCCATAGAAGAACGCCTGCGCCATGCTGAAGGACGGGACCGCAGGCTCGCACTTCATGGCCTCTCCGCAGTGTGTGGGCTACAGCCGCAGCACGGCCGCCCCCCTCACCCTGACTATGTGCCTCCCCGACCTGAAGGAAATCAGGCGGGCTGTGAAGCTCTGGGTGAAGGCGCTGAGTGCGCAGTCCGTCTACATCGCCACAGATTCTGAGAACTATGTGCCCGAGATCCAGCAGCTCTTCAGAGGGAAGGTACGCACGGGCAGAGGGGGAGTGTGGCCAAGCAGGAGTCAGAAACAGGGTGACCATCAGTCAGAAATGGGGTGGTCACTGCGCTCGTACTCCCTGCTTCACGGCCTCACACCGCCGCTGTGGCCTGACACCCTATTCCTCTCCAGTTCCCACTCACCTCAAGCCCTACCTAGCTCAGGCACCATGGCCAAGATTCCCTTGGTTTCCCTCCACTCTCGTACTGTGTGCTAGGAACTTCCGTGTACTTCCTCACACCGCCTTTGAGCCACGTTCTAGCCTGGGAAGACAATAGTCCAGAAGCGTGCCTTTCTCGAACCAGGAGCTGTGGCTCCTTGAAGACAGGCTCTGAAGCTGACTCACTGTTCTATTTTTTTAAGTAGATTGATTTATTTATGCATACAAGAACTGGGGTACAGGCTAGAGGTGTGAGGGGATGCGAGGATTCACCGGAGAGAAAGTGGGGAGTAGAACAGACAGATCTACTGAAATACACTGCCGAGGGGAGCAAAGGGCAGGTCAGGAGAGGTCTGCTGTGCCTTATGGTCACCTCCCTGGCCAGGGATTGAACTGTGCTTCACTGGCTGTGCAGAGCTTTGTAGTTCTGAGATTTAACCCCTTGCACCACCAGGCAGGCCCACTGACTCACTGATTAATCCTCAAAGGCTAACCTAGTGCTCTGAACTCCTCCTCAAGGCCTTGCTATCTCCAGTGTCTAGGACCTCCCTAGTACATAGTAACCCTTGTTAAATGTTTGTTGAATAAGGATGTAAGAGTAGGCCCTTGGTAGAGTCAGGTGTAGCAGAGGATTAAGATCATGAACTCAGGAGCCAGAGAACTTGGCTTCCACTTACTGTGTAGCCCTGCATAAATCTCTCTACCGCTCTCTGCTTGTCTGTAAAACGGGGCTGAGTAGTACCTGTCCCATAGAGTGACTGTGAAGATCAAACACAAAGAAATTAAGACAGTATAAACTCGTACAAAATAAGTGTTTGATAAAGTTAGCTATACTCTATAGTACAATTAGGTGGCTGCTACAGGGAAGTCTCTTTTGTGCTTAGTAAATGCTTAAGGAAGGGATGAATGGCTGACAGTTTGTGACTGACTATTCTATGACTGAAAATAGTGTGCTTGGTACAGTGTCAGTAACGAATAAGTAGGTAAATGAAAATAAGTAAATAGTGATCATTCACAAAGACTTTGTTGAATGAATGAAATCTCCAATGCTCGTGCAGACTATAAAAGGCAACGTTAGAGGGCAGATGTGCTTTCTAGCAGATGTACTTTCCTCACTTTCGTGTGGCAGGGCCCCCTTTCTCCCTCTACCCCAGACACAGGCTGGAAGGCCCAGCTTGTGGAGCGTGCTAGGTCAGTGCCTTCTGGTTCCCCACCACCCTCTTGATAGAAGACTGTGAGCGCTGGGAGTGCCTCACCCAAGCCCTGTGTTTTATAGCTAAGGAAACCAAAGTCCCAAGAGGTCTCGTAGTTATTATTATAGTGGGCATGACACAGAGATGCTAAGTTTCAGGGTGGTGAGTTTCATTGTTTGGGGATTTTGGCTGTGATTAGGCCACTATTTCTTTGCTACCATCCAAATAGCAAGGCGATGATTTTTGTTATATCAGAAATCTCTATGTGACAGCAAAGCACTTTCAGCCCCACTCAGCTGGTCCCCCCAGCCCCCACCGCCACCATCACCTCTGTACTAAGTGGAAGCATTTGGAGAGTCCCAGGGAGTTTTTGTAAGTTTTTTAGCATTGATATATTTGCTACACCTTGAACCTCTTGCCATTTTCTATTTCCTGTTCCTGTGTCACTGTTCTTGCCCTTCCCCACTCCTCAGGCCCCTCTACATGAACTCAGGTCCACCTTCCTCCTGAACCAAGCCTTGATCTTCCATTAAGCTGGGCCAGTGCTGAGCCAGGAATACTGGTAAATAGGTTTTGGTCTGGCCCTCTAGGCTCACAGTCTGGGCTCAGAGAAGATACTTTGCAGAGTACTGTAACGTGTGCCACAGTAGAGGTCCAGGGCTGGCCACAGTAGAAGTCCAGGAGCTTGAGTGGAGGATGGGGGCTTGGGGGGGCTCATTCGTTCAACCCCTTACCCATCCAACAGATGTTTATTGAGGCAAGCTCCATCCAGGAGTGGCAAACTGATAGAGAGCCAGCCCAGTCAGGTGCAGGAGACATGTTAATCAGAGAATCACTAAGGAGGGAAAACTGCAAAATAAGATGTGTAGTCCGAAGTAAAGGAATATGATGCTGTGAGGGTGTAGCGCCAAAGATCCTGGTCAGAGCCCTGGGGAGCCAGAGAGGAAGGCTTCCCCTGGGAAGTGAAACTGGAATCGTAGAGCAAAGGTTAGGAGAGCCTCAAACGTAGGGGAGAGCATGTGTAAAGGTCCTGAGGAAGAAGGGAGTCTGGTGGGTAGTGGTGGGAACTCAAGGGATGGTGAGAAGACATGGGACCAGGGCCAGAGCAGGACCTCAGAGGTGTCATCTCTTCTGTAGAACAGTAGGGCACCATCTCCTTGCGGGGGTGAGCAAAGGGGTAAGGATATCTCAAAAATTTCCTCTGGGTGTTCTAGTGAGCAGACCTGGAAGAAAGGCAGCTGGGGGCGGGGGGCATAAAAGGCATGAGATTATGGTGTCTGGGCCCAGGGCACTGTAATGGATCAAAAGAAGGGCTTCCTTTGGGTTCCGTCTCAGAGGTAGATTGGAGAGGACTTTGGGTTCAGAGGCATTGGCAGAATTCAGACGCAGCACTGAACAAATGAGGTGCTGTTTGGTCAGAACATGGTTTGGTGAGGAAAAACAAGCCCTTCAGACAAGGGCTTCATACAAAAGGTAGAACTTGAGCTGAGTCTTGGATTTTCATGGGTAGGGAAAAGGCATTCCAGGCAGAAGGAACCACATATGCAAAGGCGTAGGGTGGGAATGAGTGTCTGTGTGGGGCTGAGGCAGGGTGGGGAAAGGGTGCTGACCACAAAGTGTTCACCTTGGGTGGGGATGTGCCTAGGCAGAAGTGGACCCCACATCTTAATCCTGTCTGTGCCTCCACTTCTTCTGCAAGCCCTGGGACCTGGGAGATGCACTTCTTCAGCCCAGAGGAAGAAGGCTGGGCGTAGGGACTGCAGTGCTCATGCAGCTGGTTACGTGGCCATAGCCACTCTGCCTAAAGCACTCTGCTCCTCTCCTACAGGTAAAGGTAGTGAGCCTAAAGCCTGAGGTGGCTCAGACTGATCTGTACATCCTCGGCCAAGCAGACCACTTTATTGGCAACTGTGTCTCCTCTTTCACTGCCTTTGTGAAGCGGGAACGGGACCTCCAGGGAAGGCCATCCTCTTTCTTCGGCATGGACCGGCCCCCTCAGCTGCGGGACGAGTTCTGATCCTGCCTGGACCACATCACCAGTCCATGCTGGTCTCTCCAGCCAGGACGGGCAACAAGAAATGCTCCCAGGACTGATCCCAAGAGAAGAAGCTCCTTTTCTCACTGCCAGAGAGAGAAAAGCATCCGGACTGCATGGAAAGAAACCTACCTCCCAGGTCACAGCACTCATAGGCTCCTGGAGCTGGTGCCTCTTCCCTGCTCCTGTGTCCTGCTGCTCCTCCTGGGAATTTCATGCTTGAGCAAAGCAGTCTATCCTGGCTTTCGCTCTGCCCTGCTCTGAGCAGCCTGAGATGCTAAACTCTCTTCAGAGAGAGATTTTTATAGTTTTGATACAAGATCATGAGCCCTAGAACTCCCTCCATGAAGTTCATTAGCATAGACACCTAAAGTGACCTTAACTGAACATGGGTGAGGCCAGGGGTTGGTAGGTGTATCGGCCACTTTCCCGGATGACCCCCAGAGTCATCTGCCGTCCCCACTGTCCGGTCAGAACAGTGATTTCTCTTCAGAGGCCATGCTGGTGTTTGAGGCATGAACACTCTCCTCTGCCATGAGCACTGTGCAAATGGAAGGGCTCGACCTGGCGTGCGCCAAACTCCACAGCTGGCCAAACGCCGCGCAGGCACCGCGCACATCCCAAGCTGGCAAGCCAGGCCACCAGGCATTGCTCTCAGTATCTTGGTCACTGCTCAGTATCTTTGCAGTCTGCTGCAAACCTAGCACCACCAGGGCCTCATAACACATCCCCATTGGCCAGCAAGCCTGGCAGAATCCTGAAAGCAGCTCTCTCCCCTTCTGATCTCTTAACCAAGAGCCTGGTTGCAGGATTTTGCTGGTATCCTAAGCGTCAGACCATAAGAAGATACCAGGACCTGGTAGCCAGCAGAATTTCTACTTGGAAGCAACCTTCGCCTGTTCCCATCAAGTCCACCAACCCTAGGAGTCTTAAAGTCCTAGGTTGCTTTGTCTCTCAGAGGCTGCAGCTTTAATGATCCATGACTCCCGAGTCTGAATGTTTTGCCTCTTGGTTCCAACATTTGTCTAACACCTGCTGATCTCTTTGCTGCCATGTGACCTTCAGCCTTCGATCCTGTTCCAAGTGGCCATGAGCCTAAGCACTGCTGACCCCCCACTTCAGTCAGATACCCAGGAAAGTGGAAGAGACTGATGGAAGCCAGGCCCAGGGCTCCACGCAGGGCTTGGTAGTCCCTTGATTATCTCTGGGGAAATACCTTCCTTGTCAAGCAGACTGAGACAAAGGTGGCCAGACAATAAGACATTTGCTGCTTAGAGTTGCAGCCCAAATCAAAATGGGAGGCACTACAGACAGGGCTTTGGTACAGTCCTGTCGGGAAACTGTGTCTGTTCAGACTTGTTCCAGAGCCTCATTTGTTCAGAGAAGTGGGAGCCATGCACCCCAGCCTCCATCGGGGTGAGGAAAGCCTGGCTTACTGGCTGATCTCATTTGCTGCATTCATTTGTGGTTCACAGCTTCACACTCACACGCGCTTTAGAGCCTGGGTCCTGATGGGTCATCCGAGTCATCTTGATTAACACGGGCAGTAATAAGGGCTTGTGTTTCTGGAGGAAAGGGCACCCGAGTTCCAGTCAGATTCATTTGTATTCTGTGGACTAGCACTTTGTTCCTCTGACCCAGTTTCCTCGTCTATTAAATAGTGATAAAACAGACGGTTGTCGAAAGGCCCAAGTCAGATAAAGCACGCATAAGGGTACAGTGTGGGCTGGAAAGAGACCAGGCCCACGTGGTTGGTGTTAATTTGTCTGCCTCTGTCGCACACCCGCTCTGTGCCCTCACTGCGCTTGGTAAGTGCTTTTGCGCATTCTCTGGCTTAGTCTCCAACCAGCCCTGGAAGTAGGAGCCATCCTCTTTCTGTTCAAGGAACAACTAATTCTCTGAAAACTCATACTTTCCCCAAACCATGCTATCAGCCACCATGCTCTGCTGCCGCCAGTTTCCAGGACACACTTTACCCTGAGTGCTGGGGAGGCCCTAGATGGAAAACAGTCAGCCACCTTAGTTTCCACTGGAGTCCTCCACTCCCTGGAGTTTCCAGGGAGAGGGGGATCACCTAAAACAGTAAGCCCACATGAAGCTTACCACACTGGGGTGGTTATTTAATGCAGCATTCTTTAAGTCATCAGGTATTTATTGATCACCTGCAAGGTGTCAGACTGCTGGGTACTTGAGATTCAGTCAAGAATCAGACTAACCAGCTTCAGGAGTTTGCATTGTAAGTAGATGACATAATAAGCAAGTAAATGTTCTGGTGGGAGGTGTTGCTAATTGCCAAGTCGAAAAAGAAAGAGGTAGGGAAGTTTTGCCCTGGGAGCTCAGGAGAAACTTCTGAAGAGCTTCCTGGGAAGCAGGAGGGAGGGGTGCACGGTCAGGTGAGTGCACTGCTGGGGCACGAAATGCGTGGGGAGGTCTGAAGCAGCAGCGCCTGAGTAGTAAGCAAGTGGTGGGAGTGGCAGGGAGCTGAGCAGAAATCAGCAGGTGAGGTGATTCCCCTATGGCTGAAGGGGCCTGGTGAGGTGGCGATTTGGCTTTCATGTGGAGAGATGGGAAGCTTTTGTAGGGTTTTAAATGGGGGGTTCTGTTCAGATGGTCTGACTGACAATTTTGAAAGACCCCTCTGGCAACCAGTTAGGAAGGAGGTAGAAGTTCAGCGGCAGGGCTCAGCTGGAGACCCCAGCAAAGGCTGCTGCATCAAAGGTGGCCGGAAGTGGCCACTTTCTGGATACATAAAATTATTTTCAGACTTTAGTCTTTTTGAAAGATAGGTCTTAGGTAGTTTTAATCATGTATATGCAAGTCAGTGCCCTGTTTTCCTCTTTATAGTGTATATATTTTCTGTACTGGTACATAGCCTGAATAAACAATTTTTTAGTGACATGACATCCCACTAAGGGGTGTCCCATAGTTTATACTGTTGTCCTACTGTGAGAATTCAGTATGCTCCCAATTTGTCACCATTGCTCCTTGAAAAGTATTTTTATTTGTAAAGTTTTTATTTTCCCATATCTAAAATGTTCATTAAGGTGGTTTCCAGAAGTGGATTTGTTAGATCAAAGCCTTAAAATTTTTTCTATGGAAAGTTTTGAACTATAGATAATAATTATAAGTAATAAGTAAACTTTCAGTTTTCAGCAACCCTTAACATTTCACCAGCCCTGTTTCCTTCATTGTCCCACCAAGCCCCTTTACTATGTTCTTTTAAAGAAAATCAGTACGTTGGAAGGAAGAGCCAACAAGATTTGCTAACACAGTGAGTGGGGAGGAGGTGGGAACTCGGTAGTCTAACTCTCCGTTTGATGATTTCATTATTTCAGGGTGAGTCCACATTTATGTAAGTGAAACAGTGGGAATCACATTTTTTAAATCAAGTAACTACAAGTAGAAGTGGGTTTGAATTAGGCAGGAATGGGAAACGGGTGTTCAGAGGAACCGAAGCTGGGCCTGTCCTGACACATCGGGGTCCTCTGAAAGTGCCTGCAAGTAGAGGAAGGGGCGAAGGAAGGGGGACCGGAGAGAGGGATGGAGGAAAGTCGACTTCTTATTCCAGGTTTAGTTCACTTCAGAGAAGCTTAGTGAATAATAGCAATAAACTATCATTGGCTAAAAACTAAAAAGCCCTTTCTCTTCTCAGTTTTCTCTATCCTTAATAAGTACAGAAAAACTGCCCGTGGCCCAGAGGCAAATCCTGCACGCAGGATTATGTTGTCAGAGTTCATTCAGATTCTGACCTGAAACCTGATTTATTTGGGGGCTGGGACCTTTCCCTGGAAGTAACGTTATTTCAGGGCGGGCAGGTTTGGTTTGGTTTTACATTTAATCCTTTATTGATCATCAGCCTGGGACACCAAGCCCAACAAGGTAAACAGCAGGGAGGGAAGGAACAAAAGGTATTTTCCAGGTGCCTCCTGCAGCCCCACTGCGGTGACTCAGCAGGGGTGAGCAACAGGGCCCACCCGGGGTGCCAGAGCAGAACCTCCCAGAGGAGGCTTGGGAGGGCACCCATCCTGAACCTCTCTAAGAAGTCTGCAGCAAGTAGAGCCGCTTGGCATTTACTCTCTTCTACCTGGGGACGGGGCTATTCCCCTCTCGCTGTACACGGTGAGGAGGTACAAGACACCAGCAGAAGGTGATTTTTTTGTGTTTTTTTCTCAGTCCTGCCAACCAGGCGCTGGGGACTTGCCCTGTAGCAGAGGGACAGCAGTAGCTGGAACTGACACACAGCTCTTTCTTTTGCAGATACTTTGTGTTTTCATTTACTTTTGTGTTTCAAACTTCCCTTTTTAAGAAATTTAGGCTACAAAAAATGGATTCAGGGAAAAATACTAAGTAGCTGATGTGGTATGAATTACCACAATGAAGTCTGAGAGAACCTCACTACGCCTCGCCAGGTCCAGGTCCCGAAGCTCCTCAGAACAAGTCCTAAGTGGCTGGGCAGGGAAGGGGCGAGTATTGAAGTGACTGAGGAGAATGTAGTTTGTTCATAACTGCTCTCTTCACACCTCCCTACCCCTCTGCTTAGAGCAAATTCATGTTTCAAAACCTCATTCTACAAAGTTTTCTTTTTCATTCTCACAACACCTTGAAATTGTAACCAGTAACCAACATGTATTGTTTATCACCTGCCATGCAGTGTTCTCAGCACTTTACATAAGATAACTAACCTAGCTGGCAAAAAAAAAAAAAAAAACACCCAGGAGGTTGCTCCTCTTATCTCCATTTTACAGATAAGACTCTGAGGCACAGAGGGGCAAAGAAACTAGCTGAGCTTGTGCACAGCTGAGTTCTGACCCAACCCATGGAATTGTGAGATGCGACAACGCCCTTAACCTCTGTGCTATCCTTCCTCCGAGGTCACTTACTGGAGGATATTTGCTTCTCAGTTTCCCAGCTAGGCCAGAGATTTCCCCTCAAGCTGGAACCATGCCTGACCTGTCTCCCTGTATCAGCACTCAGGCTTGGCTAGGAGAGCCCATTACATCTGGGGCGAGTGAATGGACATGCATACAGTGGCTGGAAAGGTGATACAACTTCTGACATATGGAAGATTCATGGAGGAGTGTTGAGTTGAGTAATGGCTATGACGTCAGCAAGTGCTTGTGGGAAAGACAAGGGAATTCTGGATGGAAGAAGCCACAAGAGGAAAAGCACACATTGGAGACCATAACTCATCAAGTTTGGCTAGCTGGGGGCAAGTGTTTGGCAAGTTCATTGTGATCAGAACCTGGCAGGAGGTCGAGTGGCTTGTGCTCCTGGGAGCAGTGGGGACCCAAGGAAGTCTTTGTGCAGCCAGGTGAGAGAGTCAGACCTGGGTACTAACGTGGTCAATGTGACTGAAGGTTTTAAATGACCAAGGGAGAAAATTTATAAAGCAAAAACCAGAAAAAGGGCTCACTGTGGTGGGGCAGGGACAGGACAGTGAATGGTGCCATGAGTATATCTGGGGACACTGAGGACAAGATCACCTATGAAGGTTTAAGTTGCTGAAGAAGCACTGGAATGCCAGGCTAAGAGCTTTGGCCCTTTCTTTAGGGAGCCAGAGGAATTTTAAAAGTCAGAGCCTTTTAAACCAAGGGTACTGGATCAGGGTTTGTCTTTTGGTCACAAGCAAGCAAATGGAGTGAGTGTGGAAGAACTTTTCAGGGCTTACTAAGTAAGGGATCACCTGAGCCAACCCTGAGGGAATAATGCCGAAAGGCAGAGCTCTGCCTGTGTATGTTTCGTTTTGTTTTCGTTTTTTTTTTAAAGATTTATTTATTTGGGCCCTCCCTGGCAGTGCAACCAGTTAGGATGCAGCACTACAAGCTAGCCATAGCCTCTTCAGTGCGAGTTTGATCCCCAGCCAGGGATGGGAGGTGACCCACATGATGCAGCAGACCTCTCCTGTGTCACCCACTGCTCCCCTCAGCAGTGTATTTCATTGATCTTCCTGTTCTGCTCCCCGCTCTGTCTTTGGTAAAGTCTGTCACCACCTCTGCCCCTCTGGCCTGTACACAGAACTGGGGTACAGGCCAGAGGTGCAGGGGGATGAGATAATTCACAGAGAGAGTGGGGAGCAGAGTCGGCAGATGTACTGAATTACACTGCTGGGGGAGCAGCAGGCAGGTCAGGAAAGGTCTGCTGCACCATGTGGGTCATCTCCCTGGCTGGGGATCAAATTTATAATGGCTGCGGACAGCTTTAGTGCTATGCTTTAACCTGTTGCCCTGCCTATATATGTTATTTGAAAATTTCATTAAAAATAAATACAAGTGCAGGCCCTCCTTGGTGGCGCAGCAGGTTAAAGCACTGCACTAAGAAGCTGAAACCACTTCCGCATGAGTTCGATTCCCACCTGCTCCAGAGGTGACCACATGGTGTGGCAGACCTCTCCTGACCCGCCCGCTGCTCCCTCAGCAGTGTACTTCATCGATCTGCCTGTTCTGCTCCCCACTCTGTCTCTGGTGAAGTCTTTCGCCACTCCTGAGTCTCTGGCCTACACCCCAGTTCTGTATGCACAAATAAATCTTTAAAAAAAAGATAAATAAATACAAGTTCAAAATAAAAAGTACTTCAAAAGTGAAAGAGAATATACTTGTAGAGTGAAAAGGGCCCTCTCCTATTCCATAAGTAAACTTCCAGAAGTAAACTGCTAAAGATCTCTTCTGTTTCTTCCAGAAATTTTTCATGCCATTGCTAAGCATAAATGTACGTGCTGGGTATACACAATTGAGGAGACTTGGGTTTGAACCCCATCTCAATCTCTAGCCAGTGTGTGACTGAAACAAGTTATTAGCCTGTCTGAGCCTTAGTTTTTGCATCTGTGAAATGAAAATAATATCTTCAGTCAAGTCTCATCTTAACTTTAAGGTCAGGTCCTAAAGGATAAAAACAATATTCTCTTCCCAAATTTGTTAAGCCTACATGTGACATAATTCTACTCTAATTGTAGGGTAGCTGTGGGAATATAAGGAACTAATATTACTTTGGTACCTGACACATAGTGATGCCTGATGATAATAGTATTATTATTTAAGAAAACCGCACAATCTTCCTAAGGCTCAGTTCCTTCAACTATGAACCAGAAGTTGGCACAGGGTTGCCAGACAGATTCCAAAGTACATGAAAATGTTTTGCAACTGTCTAGAGGGCCCCAGTTATGGGGAATTAAGCTTTATCAGGGCTCTGTTGGAAGCTTCCTTCTCTAACCGGCTTTTCAATTTTGCCTTTGCTCACTGTGAGCCCACTTGCCTCCAGCCTTTGATAGTGAGAGGCAGGAGCCCTGAGCGCTTTGCCTGCTAAGGGGATGGGCCATGAGAAAGACCCCCATCTGCCCCTAGAAGAGTAGGGCTTGGAGGGAGTCAAGAACCCAAGCCACACAGGCCGATGGTGTGCAGGGAGCCAGAGACCCATCTCTGTGACGAGGAAAGTTCTAAGAAAGGTTCTGACCCTCTCTGAACTCCTGTGTCCTCTTCAGCTATAAAATGAGGACTGTGGACAGGGTGACCTTTGACAAGAGCATTAGGTTTGGGATCCAAGGGCTGAGGAGCAAATAGGAATACAAATGAAATCTTCGAACTGTTCGGATGTTAGGAACTAAAGTTCTTAACTGCCATGGGGGTTGCTTTCTAGTCCCAGGAGAAGCAGATAAGAAACACAGGAATAGTACCATGTGTGAAGAGGTGATGCAGACTATGAAAGAAAATGAAATAGCATAAAGAGAAGGGACAGGCGACATTTGAGCAGAGACTCCAGGAGGTGAGTGAGTGAACTACATGGACATTAGCAGAAGAGCAGTCCTCCATGAACAGCAAGGGCAGACGGCCCTAGGGGAGGCTAGCTTGGCATGGCTGAGGGGCAGGGAGGAGGGCCTGAGGCAAGGTATGCGAGGAAGCAGTGGGGTTTGCCTCTGGTTTTCACCTGAATGAGAGGAGAAACTTGGGAGGTCTTGAGCAGGGAAGTGACCTGAGCCAACCTATATAAGACAACTTTTATATTATCCCTCTTTTGGTACTATAGTTACTACTCTGTAACAAGAACATCCACAACAACAAAAACCCAAAACATAGTAGCCTAAAGTAGCAATAATCATTTACCTCCTCACAGTTTCTGTGGGTCAGGAATGAGAACACTGTCTGGGGGGCTCTGACTCAGTCTCTGGAGAGGGTGCAGGAAGGGTGTGCCCATCCAGAGGCTCCACCTCCAGAGTGTGGAAGTTGGCTGTTGATGGGGGGACCAGCTCCCCTCCACAGGGCTGCTTGGGTGTCTCCATGTGCCATAGCCGGTTCGCCTTAGGGGCCAGCACAGCAGTGTCTTTTCTGACCCCGCCTCATGTATCATGCACCATCACTTCTGACATGTTTGTTGGACACATTGGCCAGACCCCTGCACAAGGGTGTAGGTACAAGGCTGAGGGTCACTGTCATCCACCTCAGCCTGACTGCCATGACTCTCATGTTCATATGTTTAACACAGAGTAAAATTTCCTCTTTTTTTTTTTTTTTTTTGGTGTAAAGTTCTATGAATTTTAACGCGCAGATTTGAGTAACCACCACCACAAACAGGATACAGAACAGTTCTGTCACCCCTCAAAAAACCCTGGTGTTTCCCTTTGTAGTGA